TTTGAAAAAAAAGTGATTCGGCTTGAGCGGATAAAAATCGTTTGAAATATTTAAGGAAAATCATCTTCTCAAACGTTTCTCACTAGGTGTAAAAATACATTTGATTGTCTTCAGGAAAATGTCTGGTATCCTGCTTTATTCAATCAAAACTAAGAGGTGGTCTGTTTTCTTCAGGGTAGAAACTTCAGACATGACCACAGAATCCTACCAACTGCCACCCTGTTACATTTCTTCCGATACTGCCGAAACTCATGGTACCTATTTGGGTAGATATGTTGATGGAGTATCAGGAGAAGCAAGCCATTTTGTCTCCAGCCCAGCAAGAATTTCTTCGCAAATGCCCGTGCAACACAAATCTACTTCTTGCATGAGATGAGTGAACGAAATCAGTAGCCACAGGCGGGCCACTGGATATAGGTTGTTTGGGCTTCGTCAAAGTATCTAATCGAGTAAACCACCGAATTCTATTAGGAATACTCTAAAACCACGGAATAACAGGTTTGGTTCTCGACTGAATCAAGGAGTTTCTCCCATAGAGAACGATGTTAGTTCGTGCATCAATCGCCGCTGCTCGAGGGGTTCCGACAAGACCCGTGCTGGGTCCTTGTCTCGTTTTCTTGCATTCATAAGCCACCTATTACATGTTATTGGGCTATCTGCACTATTATTAGCGGACGACGCTAAAATTCGAAGAACAATAACACATCCAGCGGATTATTTGTCACTCGAACAAACGATCATTGCTACCCACTGATGGTCCATCGCCGATGACGTTGAATTTAACGTATAAAAATGCTAAGGTATGGTACAGTAGGACGTAGGATGTTCCACGCGCTATGCCTGAGCATCCTTCATGGCTCTAAAACAATTTGGACCGCTTAAACGTGCTTTCGGGCAGTTCGAAATACCACAGTCCCCAAGCTTCCTACAAGCGTTCATTCGGTCACACAGGGTGTACACCGTTTAAATATGGAGTTTATGGTTGAACCGCGACAACAAGTCGCTAAAAAGTCAGCAAAGGTTGTTGACAAAAATGGTAAAAGGTCTGTATAACAAGACGAATTCCGAAAGACTGCAAATATTGCGGCTTTACTCATCTCAATGCCGTCGACTCCAACGGGCCCTGATCTTGACATATTGTAGCGAGAAAGCGAGCTGGCTGGGGATACGTCTTTTGATCCATTTCAAAAGTAAACAGTGGATGCGTTGGTCGGTGTTCTTTGTCGTACCTTGCCTTGTTGCGCTGCTGGGTTTGCCTGATTTTATCAACCGCTTCTCTCTCCAGCTTGTCTCGTTCCTTCGTGGAAAGCTGTTCGCCGGATCTTCCGAGTAACGCTTCAAGAGGCGTTCTGGGTTCTCTGACGTATATGATTTCAAAGGGTGGTATCCCTATCGTGGAATGAGATGTTGTTCTGTAGTTGAAAAGGATTTCCGGATTTCCTTCCCAATCACCGCGATGGTTATTGAGCCATTCCTTCATTGTTCTGTTGAAACTTCCAGTCATTCCGTTGGCCTGCGGATGATAGGGGGACGTTCTTGTTTGTTTGATGCCCCAGCGCTCTAAGGTCTCCCGAAAAATCTTGGATTCGAAACACGGTCCCCAGTCGGTAATGACATTTTCCGGGATACCGATTCGTGCAACCACGTTGTCTATAAATATCCGAGCAACCGTTTCTCCTGTTTGATCTGAGGTTGGTCTCGCTTCCACCCAGCGAGATACGAGTTCGACCATCACGATAATGTACTTGTTCCCGCTTGGAATAATAGGCAGAGGTCCAAACACATCCAGTCCCCAGGTTTGAAGTACTCTCTGTGTCTATTGGTCGCATTGGCGGTGTTGATGGCGGCGTGTATTTATTATGTTGACACTCGGGGCAAGAACGGATGTATTCAATTACATCCCGGCGCATCGCTGGTCAGAACATGCGACGTCGTAATGAGTCGAGAACTCGTTGCCGTCCCATGTGTGCTCCATCGTGTCCAAGCTTCCACACCCGTTCGCGAAGGCCGGTTGGGATGAATGGCAGTCACTTAGG